TAAAAATAAAGGGCTGGAGCAAAATCTATTATGCTTCAGCTGAGGTTAAAAAAAAATGGCAAGTGTAGCAATCGTGATCTCAAAAGAAGAAAAAGCGAAAATAGACCTAATTAAAAGAGATAAGCAAGCAAACTACATTTTGCTAAAAGGTACAATGGACAATGAAGTAATATCAGTTCTAAACACATATGTACCAAATGACTTAGCATCCAAATTCTTAAAGAAAAAGTTAAATAAGTTACTGGAGAAAATAGACAGTAAAACTATACTAGTGAAGTACCTCAACTTTTCTTTCTCAGAATTAGATAAAGCTAACCATAAAATAAACAAGGAAGAAGCTAAGGAAATAAATAAAATTTTAGAAAAGTTAGATATGATAGACCTCTGGCGAAAATGTACATTGACCACGTATTAGGGCATAAAATCCTCACAGCCAAATGCAGAAAAGGAGAAATATTAAATATATCCTTTTCAGACCATAATGCAAAAAAATTATATTCAATAAATGGCAATGGAAACAGAGATTAAAAATTAATTGGAAATTAAATAATCTAATCCTAAAGAATGAGTGGGTCAAAAAACAAATCAGAGAAACAATAAATAATTTCATTAAAGAAAATGACTACAATGAAACAACATACCAAAATTTATGAGATGCAGCCAAAGCAGTTCTTATGGGGAAATTTATATCTTTAGATGGTTATATGAATAAAATAGAGAAAGAGCAGATTAATGAATTGGGTATGCAACCAAAAAAAAACCTACAAAAAGAACAAATTAAAAATCACCAATTAAACATCAAATTGGGAATCCTGAAAATTAAAGAAGATATTTAATTTAATTTAATTATTTAATTTTGTTGAATTATTTAATTTTATTGAATTATTTAATTTTATTAAATTGAAAGTTTAAAAAAACACATTGAAGTAATAGAACTAAGAGCTGATTTTATATAATAGATAAATCATTGGTAAATTTGATTTAAAAAAAAGAGGAAGACAAAATTATGAGTATCGAAAATGCAAAGGGTAAATGTACCACCATGAGGAAGAAATTAAAGTAATTGCTAGGACTTATTTCCCCCAATTATATGCCAATAAATCTGACAATCTAAGTGAAATGGGCAAATATTTACAAAAATATAAGCTACCTAGATTAATGGAGGAATACTTATATAACCATTATCTTAAAAAAAAATTGAACAAGTTATCAATGAGCTTTCTAAGAAAAACTCCCCAGCACCAGATGTATTCACAAGTGAAAAAACCAAACATTTAAAGAACAATTGATTCCAACACTATATAAAATATTTGGGAAAATAGTCAAAGGAGTCCTACCTAATTCCTTTTAAGACACAAATATAGCACTGATACCTAAACCAGGAAAAGTAAAAACAGAGAAAGAAAGCTATAAACTAATTTCCCTAATGAATATTGATGCAAACATTTTAAACAAAATACTAACAAGGAGATTACAGCGTCATATCACAAAGATCATACACTATGACCACGTAGTTTTCATACCAGGAATGCAGGTATATTGATGGTTCAATATTAGGAAAACTATAAGCGTAATTGACTACATCAGTAACAAAAATAGCAAAAATCATATGATGATCTCAATAGATGCAGAAAAAGCTTTTGACAAAATACAATACTCATTCCTGTTTTAAAAGCACTACTAAGCATAGGAGCTTTCCTTAAAATGGTAGGCAGTATCTATTTAAAACCATCAGCAAGCATTAGCTGAAATGGGGATAAGCAAGAAGCCTTTCCAAAAAGATCAGGGGTAAAGCAAGGATATGCATTATCACCACTATTATTCAATGTTATACTAGAAATGTTAGCTATAGCAATAAGACAATAAAAAGAAATTGAAGGAATTAGGCAATGAGGAAACAAAACTATCACTTTTTGCAGACTCTATGATGGTTTACTTAGAGAATCCTAGTTGTTCACTCTTTCAATCATGTCATACTCTTCATGACCCATGGACCATAGCATGTCAGGAGAGAATTGCAGCAAAAAAAAAATCCAAAGAGCCATTGTTTTAATAAAAATACTTTAATCCAAAATCAATTAATTAATACCACACATTATAGGATATAAAATGGATAATTTTATTGCATAAAATTAAAAAGATTTTATACAAACAAAACCAAAGCAGCCAAGATTAGAAGGAAAGCAGGAACAGGGGGAGGGGACAATTTTACAGCAAGTTTCTTTAATAATGGCCTCATTTTTCAAATACATAGAGAACTGAGTCAAATTTATAAGAATACAAGTCATTCCCCAACTGATAAATGGTCAAAGGATATAAACAGACACTCTTCAAAAGAAATCAATGCTATCTATAGTCATATGAAAAAATGCTCTAAATCATCACTGATTAGAGAAATTCAAATTAAAACAACTCTGAGGTACCACCTTGAACCCGTCAGATTGGCTAATATCACAGAAAAGGAAAATAACAAATGTTGGAGGCCATGTGGAAAAATAGGGATGCTAATTCACTTCTGATGGAGTTGTGAACTGATCCAATTGCTCTGGAGAACAATTTGGAACTATGCCCAGAGGGCTATAAAACTGCACATACTTTTTGATCCAGAAATACCATTACTAAGTCTGTTCCCCAAAGAGATCAAAGAAAAAGGAAAGGGACTTGTATGTACAAAAACATACAGAGCGGCTCTTTTTGTGGTAGCAAAGAACTGGAAATTGAAGGGATGCCTATCAATTGGTTGAACAAGTTGTGGTATATGAATGTAATGGAATATTTTGGTTCCATAAGAAATGATGAGCAGTGGATAGAGCACCGGCCCTGGATTCAGGAGGACCTGAGTTCAAATCTGGCCTCAGACACATAACACTTACTAGCTGTGGGACCCTGGGCAAGTCACTTAACCCTCATTGCCCAACCTAAAACAAAATCAAAACAAAACAAACAAACAAACAAACAAAAACAGAACAGGACCAGGAGGATATTGTACACAGTAACAGCAATATTGTACTATGATCAACTGTGAATCACTTACCTATTCTCAGCAATACAATGATCCAAGACAATTACAAAGGATTCATTATGGAAAATGCTATCCACCTCTTGAGAAAGAACTAATGGAATCTGAATGAAGAATAAAGCATATTTTTTCTACTTTCTTCATTATTCTTAGGGGTTTTTTTTTGGTCTGTGGTTTATTTGGGGTTTTTTTCAACATTGCTAATATGGAAATTTTTTGCATGATTGCACATATATAATCTATATCAAATTGCTTGCCTTCTCAAGAACAGGAGGGAGGAAGGTTGAAAATATGGAAGTCAAAATATCTTAAACGAATATGGAACTCAAAATGTTTTTTAAAACGAATATAAAAATTTTTTGCTCATATGTAATTGAGAAAACATAAAATAAAAATTAAATGTGAAAAAAAATAAAACAACCTCCGTTTTAGGAGGCACCCCTGACTAGCCATCTCTTCATTTCCCACAGAACTGCACTCTTTCTTTATCCTGTCTCTAGCTACCTACCTTCTCACCCACTGCCTCATCACTCCCACTCCCCCAGTTTTCAGCTATTTGTGTATTATGTTCTCCGTTAGAAAAAAGTAAGCCCACTGAAGGCAAGAACTGTCTTTTGACTTTCTTTGTATCCCCGAGAGCTTAGCAGAACGCCTGACACACAGTAGGAGCTTAAAAAATACTTACTCACTGAATAAATAACTGATGCCTTCACGTTACCTGTGAACTATGAAGAAGGGGACTGTTTCCTGCTACAACATACTAAATAATTATGGATTCCTGGCAGACTGGCTGTGTTGCTGTTTGTTTTGGTTGGGGCTGGGGGTGCTGGGAGGTGGGGAGGCTGGCGCCTCCCTTTACTTTTCTGTCACTATCCCCTTCTGCAGTCTGTAGAAATCTATGCACCCCCTCTCATAATATTTTCAAATACACAAAATAAAATAATATTACAAAAGAAGCCAATTATGTGAAAATGCAGTTATCAAAAGTCTTCCCAGCTTTGAAGTGTAAATAGCACCTAAAGACAACCTGACCCAAAAAAATCTCCATTACATATTACAACGAATGGACATTAAAACTACTTGCACTATGGCATGTAACTTGAGGAGGAAGCAGGACTACCCAACTGACAAACTGATTTAATTAAAATCAACATCTACCAACTCTTTGCAGAAATGGCTTCCGAGGGTATTGGGTAGTAGGAAGAGGAATGGGAGGAGTAAATTTGGAGTTAGGACACTGGAGGGTGGTCGTTGAAGGTGGTCACTGTTTGGGCTCTGATTGGCTCAGAATGAATATAAATAACCATTGTTTCTGTTTTGGCCAGAAAATCTGAGAGTCTTCCCCTCCTAGATTTTTTTTTTAAAGATGCCATTCTTTGCAACATTTTTTAAGCCTTAATCACGGAGTAGGCGCTGCCTCAGTCAAACTGAGACGTCTTAAAGACCTTAATTTGAAAAGGCCAAGGTCCGGCCCAGCATCCTGAGCCATCCCCAGTTGTTCTGATCTACTGGACCCAAATGGCTGCGGAGGAGAAAGTGAGACTGGTGACCTTGCACAGCCCTCCCTCATTTAAAAACAATTCACTCGTATATCATGGCATCACCTCCCTGATGTCATGGTCCTGTTCGAAAGAAGGACAAATAGCAGTAGCAGCAGCAAACAATGGTAACATATTAGAATGAAAAGTGAAGAATCAAGCTTCTTTTCCTGAAAAGAATCATGCATCGTTCTTTAGAATGAAATAAAATACGATTGAGAAAAGGGGCGCGCTTGCTGTTCCGGATTGTCTCCCTGCTCCTTCTCGTCCTATGAGAAGGGACATGAGGCCCAGGGAGGGGCGGAGCCTCAGAGACAGTTTCCCACCGCCCCCTTTCTAGGCCCCTTACGGTTTTCAAAGAGGTCCGCCAGTGCCTTATATAAAGGTCTAGCAGGCCCGGCGACCTTTATTCGTTCTAGGCAGCTTTGTTAGGTGACTTAAACATGTCTGGCCGCGGCAAGGGGGGTAAAGGGTTGGGAAAAGGGGGTGCCAAGCGGCACAGGAAGGTGCTGCGGGATAACATCCAGGGCATCACCAAGCCTGCCATCCGCCGTCTGGCTCGGCGAGGGGGTGTGAAGCGAATCTCGGGGCTGATCTACGAGGAGACCCGCGGGGTGCTGAAAGTGTTTCTGGAGAATGTGATCCGTGACGCCGTCACTTACACGGAGCACGCCAAGAGGAAGACTGTCACCGCCATGGACGTGGTCTACGCTCTCAAGCGCCAGGGCCGCACTCTCTACGGCTTTGGCGGCTAAGCGCGTCTTCCTGTGCTGTATTTCCTGCGCTCCGCTTCCCAAAGGCCCTTTTCAGGGCCGCCTACCTTTCCATTTAAAGGAGTTGTGCATTTTGGTTTGGCTCTCTACGGAATGTTGACGGCTCGTTGTGTGTTTAAATAGCGGTACACGGACGAGTTTTGGTGACTTTTTTTTACTCATGGACTTGAGAAAGGGGTTAAGATGTATTGTCACTTGATAGCTCAAGGTCCCGCCGTGACGTAACAGCAAACGTTGCAACTACAATATGCCATCTCCATTAAGCCTTTTACCGACACTAGCACGCGCGCATACTAAGGCCAAAAGCAGTGCCTTCACTTATCTTTTGTTTCCTAGGAATAGCCTTTTGTAGCAGGATCGCTCTTCTATTGTGCTTTTGTTTTTGTACATAACATGCAGGCGCGCAGTTTTATTCTCCTCCCAATCAAACTTTCTCTCCAGCCCAAGAATACAGTGGGTTCTTAAATGGCTTGTTGAACAGGCCACTTTACCACCATCCTCATCCTCCAAAATCAAACCCCAATTGCCTACATTTATCCAGTCAAACTTCTGAGCCTCTATTATATATGTGCCAGATGAAAATTGGAAAGCAAGAGGGTGACATAGAGCGGAGTTACTACAGTGGAAAGAAGTAACAAGGAAGTGCTTGAGGTCAGTAGTCAATAGGGAAGACAAAGACAAACTAAAATTCAAAGAACGTTGTCCCTACCAGAAATGTAAAAATCCTACACCTCCACCCCAAGTAGTTAAGCTGTTACTGAAAATTATATGCAGTGCACACAAAGGAGATCAAGAAGTAAGTAATCTATTCTAGAAAGATAAAATCCATATATAGGTTTTTTTCAGTTTAAAATAAGAAGTTAATGCTTGGAGAAGAAAGTCTCCAACTTGCAAACTTCATTATTAAAGATAGAATTAGAAGGTCCTAATACTTATAAAATCTCAAATAAATGGGCACTAATATAAACCACAAACTGTTGTTCATAGGAAACTGGGTTGCACAATGAACAGAGTACCGGTGCTGGAGTCTAGAAGACCTGATTTGAAATTTAACCAAGACTCTTACTAAGTGTGTAACTATGAGCAAGTAATTTAACTTCCTCAATTTCCTCAACTATATTTATTCTTTCCCTCCCCTATGTGACAATTAACTAGGATAAACTAGAATACTTTAGTAATATTAGTCAAAAAGACACCTTTTTTCTAATGATTGTGCAATTGTTTAGAGCTCTAAAATTTGCAACACCTTTATCTTACCCTGGTGTCCTTGAAACTATGTTACTGATTTTTGGTTTTTTAGGATTTAACACCAGAAATGAATCTTTTGCTTGTTTTTCCCTTTCTGTTAGAGAAACATTCTGTTCTTGATTTGCAACTATAGTTGTTTGTCCTTCATTTTCAAAGAGGACCAATGACATCATAGGTGATGTCTTGACTTACATATGAATTGGATTTAAATGAGGCAGAATTTCACAAAGTCTGATGACTCACTCTCTCTCCCTGAGTCATTGAAGTCCAGTAGCAAGATAAAAGTCAAGATAACTGGTGATGGCCCGGGGTTGCAATGGATGACCTTGGCATCTTTGATATCTGACCAAGCTCCAAAAGCTCATGCTTTAGCGGATTTCATTGCTGTTGAGACAAATTGTTCTCTTCCACCCATTCCATAAGGGAAAGTCTTTATGTGCTTGAGATAGACATCTTCCTAAATTACCAACAGATTTGAGGCCTGTTGATTCCCATCAATGTGGTGTACCTCCTCAGCCAAGATGGTTGACTAGGATATGGCCACTATGCCATGCTACAGCTTCTTGGAGCCCCAAGTGAGGGTCAGGTGAATCAGGTGGACACCAAAGCTGGATGAGGAGCCCTGAAAAGAGTTTAGCAAACTCTCACACCAGAGGCAGTAGTCCTTCTGAACACCTCATACACCCCTTGCAATTATAATGCAAGACTTAGAAATAACTGCTTAGAATCCATAAAAATTGATGGAAACAACATATACAAAGGGTTAGACTTCCCTTGTAAAGTAGGATTCTTTACTGGTAAGGGAGAATCCATGGCAGTCGACAAGGCTCTCTACGTTTTTTGTGACACTTTTCTAGATCTCCTTCTCCTGGTATGCTCTTTTCCCATCTTCTCTGCTAGATCTCCATCCATGTCTTGCCCACTAACCATGTGTGGTCCTAAAGGTTCTGTCCTAGGCCCTCTAGGCAAATGATTCCTAGATCTACATATCCAGAACTAATCTCTCTCCTGAGTTCCAGTCCTATATCAGTCCTATGCCTCTTGAACATATCAAACTAGATGTCCCATAGGCATCTCAAAATTTAATATTATCTTCACCTCCCCCAGTCCCAATTTTCCTATTACTGTCAAGAATACCACCATCCTCCAGAGTCACTTAAGATGCCACCCTTCTCTCCACACACCCAGCTGCCACTCTGTACTAAAGTAGTACAACAGCCTTCTGGATCTCCCAATTCCAATCCATCCTCCACTCAGCTGCAAAGATAATCTTGAAACATAGATCTGACCATGTCAATTCTCTCACCCCCAGGCCCTCCAAGTGATAGCTTCCTATTACCTTCAGGATCAAATATAAAGTCCTTTCTTTCAGAACCAGACCCCCTTCCCACATTTCCAGTCTTCTTACACTTGATTCCCCTCCACAAACTCTGAGATCTAGCCACATTGGCCCACTTGCTATTTCTCCACTTGATACTCCATCTCCCAAATCATACCTTTGCACTAGCAGTGCCTTATACCTGGGATGCTCTCCCTTCTCACTTTCGCCTCTTAGCTTCCCTGTCTTCCTTCAGTACTCTGCTCAAATTCCAGGAAACCTTTTCCTGTCCCCTCCTCCCCCCAGTGCCATCCCTTCTAAGATTACCCTCCACCTACTCTGTATATATCCTACATATACATAGTTACTTAGATGTTGTCTCTCCCATTAGAATGTGAGCTCTCTGAGGACAAGGACAGTATTTTTACCTTTCTAGTATTCCCAGAGTTTAGCACATGTATGTGAATGTTTAGTAAGGGTTTGCTGATTGATCGACTGACTCATCTGCTATCCATCGGGTAAAAGGAGACCACACTGTCCAGTCCCAGAGAATTCTCTAGATTATTGGGTCATCTTCTTCATCATCAACAGGATCCAGGCCTGGTCAGGGGAGGGGGCAAGGGATCTCCAGGTTCTCCTATTTCCTGTGGCATAGTAGTAATATTTCCTGTTCCTGTTTTCAAAAGAAATTTTTAAAAAATTTTTCTTCCAGCTGGTGTGAGCAGGTAAAGACACAAGTCTGAGTTCTTCCTGGGAAAAACCCATCTTTGCCTCAATAACTCACAGAAGCAGCATCCACTGTCTCCTCCTTCTGACAAAGTTGAAGAGCTATGTCTGCTCCTTGCAAAAATTAGTGATGTGCCTTTTCCCCTCCTGCAAGGCATAGCTCTAAGATCTATTTCCTTTTTCTGATGCCTCTTCATCTATCCCTCTCTCCTGCCTCCTTCCCATTTGTCTATAGACAAGGTCAGATCTCCTCAATCCTAAAAAAGAAGTCACGCATCATCTTTCTCTCCCAAGGAAAATGACATTTGCACTACCTCTTTGTGAACCCTAAAGTACTGTAAGAATGGAAATTTTTATCATGATGTAATAGAGCTTTGCCAATAATGGAGGCCTCCTGCCTAGCATCATGTCAACAATGGCTGAGGCCAGGGAACTAGCATTTATTGGAGGAACGCCCTAGCTCTCTGGAGGGGACTTGTGCCTGGATGCAGGTATTATACCAGGAGGCTCAGACTGAGATTTCAAGAAAAAGAGAGACACAGAAGGAGGAGCAATAGCCCCAACTCAGATTTCCTGGAGGCCACACCCTTGTTATGCTTCGGTTTCCCAATGTCCCTCTCCAAATGTGGTTACCAAAATTGAAGGAAATATTCCACATCCATGGTCTCACCTGAGCAGTTTACCCCTGCATTATGGCCTCCAACTTTCTTCACACTTTTCCAATATTAATAGCAGTCCAGGACAGTATTTGTTTTATTGGTTGCTATGTCACAATGTTGACTCATATTGAATTTGCTTTTCACTAAAATCCCTTGATGTTTTCCACGCAAATTCTTGTTTAGTCACAAATTACAATTTATTTGTAAAGTAGAATATTTGAAACTAGATATTGAATTTTGCATTTAAATCTATTAAATGCCATTTCACATATTTGTCCCATTTCCTATCATGTCAAGATCTGTTTGTATCATCATTCTGTCATTCAGAATATTACCTATCCCTCAGTTTCATATCATCTAGAAATTTGATGGGCATGTCATCTGAGGCAAACTAACAACAGGCATTAATTAAATGCTTAGAGTGTGGCAGGCATTATGCTAAGCACTGGGGATTACAAATACAAGCAAAAAGAAAGACAATTCCTGACCTTAAGGAGCTTACATTCTAAAGAGGGAGCAACACATAAAAAGTGGGTCAGGGGAAGAAAGTGTGGTATCAAAGGCCATAAAGTCAGAAGCCTAGTCAGGAGGGGAATGAAGCATGGCCAGCCTGGGCCTGTGATCCCCAAAATGGAAGGCTTGAAAGGAACTCACCAATATGAGGGAGGAGGCTGGCATGGTGTAAGGATATTTTAGATTGAGAAAGCCCTAGGTACTGGAGAGAAGTTCCAGGGTAAGAGGGAGGACAACTGAGTCATGGTGACACAATCCATAGCCATAGACATAAGTCTGTAGTTTGGGTTAATTGCTTAACATTTCTCTGGAAGCCCCTTGGATGAATATTTAAATTCCAAAATTCTTGTGCCCAATTAGCACACTCTATCTGGTCGGGGGAGACAGACAACAGACAGACAGACAGATAGACAGATAGACAGAGACAGAGAATGAGAGATCTTGGTATCAGGCAACCATCTTCTAAGCTTGAAGAGCTAGTAAATATTGTTTTAGTAGACTTGATCACTAAACACCACCCTGAATGATTCAGTTTATTTATTTCAACACTAGCATCTCAGAGCTCCTGGAAAAGATTGGCATTTCCCCTTCAAAACAAAGCTCAGAAGATTTTGAGATTTGTCCTCTTTTTGTTTGACCTTCAGTCTCACCCTAGAAGGAAGCTTCCCGATGGAACGGCAGACTTGTGATGCTCTACTGCTTACATGTGAAGAGGTTTAGATAAACATTTTTCATTTTCTAAGAAATATCACAACAAGCTCCAAACGGATCAGCACCCTAAACATAAAAGGTCTTATTGTCAAAAAGAAATAGAGGAGAATCCATAGAATTACCTTTCAGGTCTATACTTCCTGAACAAAACAAGGTACAAAAAAGATCACAAAAAAACCAAAATAGGTAATTCTGAATATATAAAATTTTAAAGCTTTGATACAAACAAAATCAATCCAACTAGAATAGAGAAGATTTTAAGCAGAAAAAAAATGCTTATAACACATAGCTTTAAGAAAAGTCTAATATCCAAAATGCAGAAACAGAGTACTAGGCCATCTTATTCTGCTGTGTTTCTAAAAGAGTTTGACATTGTTCTGAAAGCCTGTAGTGAAACTAGGTATTGCTAACCTTTAAAAAATCAGGCAAACCTTTCTACCTCTAATTAAAATTCTACTTTCTTATGATTTTTGATAACCCATTATATGTTAATGTTTTCTCCTTCTGGAGGAACTGATCAAAGCTCATTCATCTCCCAAACTTCTACGCTCTATTCTTTTCCTAATGAGTGTCCCATTGTTTCATTCCATGTTTCCCATTGCTTGATCTGTTTCACTTAGATTATAAAAAGTTTTTATTTGTTCCATCTATAAACAAATTCTTGCTGTCCAGACAAGAGTCTCCGATGGGTCTCCCTCATGTGGCCACAGGTTAATGAATAAATGAAATGTGCTTCAGTCATGCTGTAGCACAAGACTGGCAGTTATTTCTTTGACAGAGATATAAAAGGAACTGACACTGACAAATGGCTAAAACCACTTCCACAATAGGTAAGTGGTCAAAGGGTTATGAACCAGTTTTCAAAAAAGGAAATACAAACTACCAACAACCATAAGGGAAAGTGTTCCCACTTTCTAATAACAAAATTCAATGTAAAACAATTCTAGGGTTTCACCTCACATCCACCAATTTGGCAAAAATGATAAAAGATGGAAATAATAAATATTAGAGGAGCAGAGAGAGGGCAGGCACAAGAATAAGTAGAATTGTGAATTGTCACCCAACACCTGAACTAGTACAATAACCTGCTCCTTGGTCTTCCTACTTCAGGTCTCTCTCCACACCAGTCCACTCAGCTGTCAATTTAATCTTCCTAGAAGTGTAGAACTAAGAACATCACTCTCCTCCCCCACACACCTCCCAAACTTCCATTCAGTCAACTACCATGGCTCCCTATCATCTCCAATATCAAGTACAGTATTCTCTATATAGCATTAAAAGCCTTTCACAAGTTGGATGCCTCCTATCTTTCTAGTCTTCTTACATTCTACTCACTGACAGGTACTCTGGAATCCCATGACACTGGCTTCCTTGTTCCTCACACAAGACATTACATTTTCTGCTTCCAGTCATTTACTCCAGCTGTCCCCCTTCCCTGAAATACTCTCCCTACTTCATTGTCATCTCTTGGCTTCTCTGTCTTCCTTCAAAACTCAGATAAAAATCCCTCCTTCTTCAAGAAGCCTTCCCTGATTCCCTTTCATGCTACTATCTTCTGTCTGTTGATAATCACACACACACACACACACACTCACCATTATTGTGCATATATCCTAAAGATATGACTTGAACCTATTAAGGTAGTTAGGTTTTCTTAAATATACAGTCCTGGAACAGAGAGAAAAATACAATTTCAGAAATAGGAAGAAAGTAGAATACATAAACTATAAGCCAGTGACCTTCACATTGATTCCTAGAAAAAACTGTAAACGGTCTTAAAGGGATGTTTAGTGAACAAAATAATCTCAGTTACTCAGAATGACTCCTTCAAGGACAAGTCATGGCAGGCTTTTTGTCATTATCATTTTTGACAGAGTTATAAGACTGGCAGATCAGAGAAAAGCTACAGGACTGTTGTGGGGATCTAATGAGAAAATACTTGTAAAGATTTCACAGTACCCGGCACATAATAGTGCTTAATAAATTCTTATTTCTTCCTTCCTGAATAAACCATGATATATGAATGCAATGAAATATTAATTTCCAGTATAAAATAACCAATGTGAGAAATTCAGGGAGACATAATAAGATCCATGTTAACTAAGGTGGTATGAAATAAGCAGAGCAAAAATAATATACACAATGATATCACATAAATAAAAAGGATGATGAAAGGAAACAGAGCTCAGATTAATAGAAAACCCACTGGAATTCTGGTTTGAAATCGAGTGGGTTTTTACTGAGTTTCCCTTCTTTTCCTTCCTTTGTATTATTCCTATACCAAATATATAGATAAGAATATGCCTGACATAACCTCAGAGAATCAGCATAAAAGAAACTACCAAAAATTGTTCAATACCATGTTGCAATGGGACATTTTAAAAGAAGAATGAATGGATGAAAATGTACTTATTCGGTGCTTGCTATGTGCAAAGCACTACACTAAACCCTAGAACCCAAATTGAAAAAAAAAGAAAAAGTCTTTACTCTGGAGGAATTGATGTTATAATGGGGAAGATAACATAAAGATGAGATTTCAGCCGAAAGCTGGATGGAAAGGCAGCAGTAATAATACCAAAAGCAAGGTATCTTTAGAGCTGTTTCCACTGATAAAGTCATATCCATTTCATTGGTGCCAAGGACTTTGATGGAAAGAACGTTCTTTTCCAGATGTGCAATAGCTGTGGATGCTGAGATGATAGAGGCTTCAGCACCCGCAGAAGCAGTTGCCAGGTTAAGTGTCAACAAAGGTCGATTCCCTGGTTCATAACTCTGAGACCTATGCTGGAGGCTGGGCCACTGGTCTGAGGGCTCTGTTATTGACCTCTCTCCATCTAGGTCTGATGGGAGGTAGTGGCAGTTGTTTGAACTCCTATTAAGAACCCCTGCTTTAATGTGTAAATAGCACCTGATGACAACACTCAAAAAAAAAAAAAAGTCCCGCAAAGATTCCGCCAACTAGAGATAAAATAAAGAACTTATTTGATTAAAAGTAATACCTTTCTATAGTTTGCTGGCAAAACTGAATTTGTTCCGTGGGGAAAGTGAAGTGGAGGCAATAGAAACAAGGAAGAAGTAAATTTGGGACTTGGGACACTTGGAGGAAGATAGAATGGGAAAAAAAGACTTAAACGTCGTTTATTTTATTAATGCAAAACACTATTATAAATTTACTGCTACTTTTAATAACTATAACAGAGCATAGACAACAGAAAAATCCAAAAGGAATAAATAGCCCTATATTTATTTATATTATTTATATTTATAATATACTATATTATATTATAGCCCTATAGCGTTCCTGAATAACCTTCCATCCATTCCTCGGTAATATATTACAATGAGAAATGAAGAGTTAAACTTTTCCTTAAAACAATTATCCATCGTTCTTTCGAATACAATAATATACACTTGAGAAAAGGGAAGCGCTTGCTGTTCGGGATTGTCTCTCTACTCCTTTCTGTCCTATGAGAAGAGACCAGAGGCCCGGGAAGGGGCGGAGCCTCAGCATTTCCCGCCGACCACTCCCGGACCGATTTCGGTTTTCAAAGAGGTCCGCAAGCACCTTATATAAAGCTCTCACAGGTTAAATTTCGCTTTTTTCTTCTAGGTTGTTTTGTTGTGCTGTTCAGCAATGTCTGGTCGCGGCAAGGGAGGCAAAGGGTTGGGGAAAGGGGGTGCCAAGCGGCACAGGAAAGTGCTGCGGGATAACATCCAGGGCATCACCAAGCCTGCCATCCGCCGTCTGGCTCGGCGAGGGGGCGTGAAGCGAATCTCGGGGCTGATCTACGAGGAGACCCGCGGGGTGCTGAAGGTGTTTTTGGAGAACGTGATCCGTGACGCCGTCACTTACACGGAGCACGCCAAGAGGAAGACTGTCACCGCCATGGACGTGGTCTACGCTCTCAAGCGCCAGGGCCGAACTCTCTACGGCTTTGGCGGCTAAATACGCTTTCCTGTGCTGCGAACTGCGAGCGATACTCCCCAAAGGCCCTTTTTAGGGCCACCCACATTCTCACTTGAAGGAGCTTTGTTTTGTTGTCTTCTCCTTAGCTTTGTTCTATTCAGAGTCCCTAGGTAACTTGTGAGGAATTTTTAAAATTAACGTATTTGCGAACCTCGGACCTCCTTACTCTTACAAAACGGAAGCAAAGATGGACTTCAACCAAAAGCTTTTGTGTTGCTTCGTGAATTGCGAAGTCTCAGCACCAAGTTTAGCTATCCTCAGTATTGGCTGATCATAAGACTTAAGATGCGTGAACTGATCTGAGCGGGAAAAGGCGTGTCCCCAAACCGGAATTGTCAACCTATCTGGGCTCTTTGTGTTTGATGACTAATAGGAATGTTCCGCTCGAAAAGCCAATCAGAATGCAGCGCGCCATCTGCAGAAGTTATTCCCGCCGGCTTTTCATTTGTGATTCTTGAGCCACTTTGGGTAAATAAATTAGCGTCCCCCCCACTTTATGGGCCCCACTTTTCTTCACACTTAAAAAAAGGACGTCTCTGTGCTCTAGGAGCTGAGGACCTAATAAAGGGCTTATTGAAACGGGTAAGAGACGTGCAAGGTAAGCTCTAAGAATATACAAGAAGAAAAGATACCAATCTATGTTATATCGTCATTGATAGCAAATGGAGCGCGTCCGAGCTTTAAGGTTTGCAAAGCACTTTACATATATTGGCTCATTTCTTCTCCAGACCAGCCCCAAAGAGGATAGGTGCTGTTAGGCACATTTCAGGAAACTGAACCCGAAAATAATTGTGACTTGCTCAGGGTTAACACAGCTAGTTAAGTGTCCCAGGGTGGGACTCCAAGACCTGGCTAGTGCTCTAGCCACTACCCCACGCTGCCTCCTCATGACCCTGGGTTGGGATTCAGGAAAACCTTAACTCCCATTCTGACTGCTGTTTACTGACCATCTGACCTTGATCGACTCCCTTACCTCTCGAGCCCTCGTTTCCTTCCTCGGTGACCTGAAATCGTATAATCACACTTTTATTTAGTTCACAGACAAGAGGCTAGTTACCTTTCAGTGGGGAACAGAAACAACGTTACTCAGGTTCCTTCTGTAAATCGGGGCTTAGCACTTTCTGGAATTCAATCTCCACAGATTGACTTTCAAAGCCTCACGCTTTCATCCTTGTTTACAAATAAAGGGGTTGGGCTATATGGCCTCTGAAGTCCTTTCCAACCCTATTCCTGGAACACCTATGATCAGTTTCTCTCTCTGTCTTGTCCAAGCAGGCCCATCTTGTGCATTTCAGTTCATTTGCCGTCTTCTCTAATTGCTTTACTGGCATGACTGAAAATGACTCCATGATTGAAAGGCTGTCAGCTTCCTCCACAGAAGTGGGGGATATTGGAGGAGGAAGGGCAGGTTTATTGCAGAAAAGATTAGCTTTCGGTTTTGGAATGCTTCAACTCCACATGCCTGGGAGATATGTACCCACGGGGAGATGTTCAGCAAGTGGTGTGAGACTGGACTTCAGGAGAGAGTTTGGAGTTGGGCAACCTCTAACCTCTGCTATGACTCCACTGCTCATATCTGATACATGCCTTCCTCTTCTCACTACCAACACCCTAGTACTGACTCATCACCTCCCTGAACTATTGTAATTACCTCCCGGTAGGGGACACTCTGCCCCTTTTGCTCCAATGCTTCCCCTGCCCCTCCCCCACCACCTTCACCACCTCCACTCCATTCTTTGAAATATTCCTAGTCATGCAGGCATTACTTGCTGGTGGGCAGTAGGGAGCCAGTGTTTGTTTTGTTTTTAAACAAACTGCTTGGCACCCTTTACTCTTTCCAACCTGATTTCATACTAAGTCTTACAAGTATTTCATATTACATTTTTATACTCCATTCCTTATCAACTCCAAGATCAAATAGAAAATTGTATAGTATTCAAAGCCTTTCATCATCTAGCCCCATTACCCCACCTTTCTAGTCTTTTTGCATTTTACACCTCTCCCCCCAGTATACCCTTCAGTCCAGTGACATTGACCTCCTTGCTCCAACCAAATACTTCATCTCCCATTTTCACTGATTTCATTTTCACTGTCTATCACTTATGTATGGAATGCTTTCTCTCCTTATCTCTGCCTCCTGACTTTCTTTAAGTCCCAGCTAAAATCTCACCTTATACAAAGTAAAAGTCTTAACACAGTGCAAATGGGAGAGGGTGTTCCCACACTTCCCTCACCCTCCCTTCCCAAAACCTCACATTGAAGCCTATTCACATGATAACAAGCCCTTTGGTTCCCTATGGAAATGAAGTCCCCAGTTTTTCCTATTTCACTGGAGAAGCAGGGATGGGGAAGATTTTGAGTCAGGCAAAACCCTACAAGAATCTAGTGCTGGGCTGTTGGAGAAGCCCTGTCCCTCTCCCCTTGCCCTAAACCCTTAATCCCCCGGCTTCAGGTTAAAACACAAGTAAAGGAATGGCAGAATGTCCCTAGCATCAGCAAGAAGGAACTCATTCCCTCTGAAGAATTGGAAACTGCTCCTCAGGTCCACCATTATTCTGCCCAGACATCAGGCCCTGGAAAAGGAGGAGTTAACCCCTAGGGTTGGGTTAGGGTTCAGGAAACATAATTACTGCCCAAAAGACTGTAAGTGCTTTTGCTCAAAATGCCTTCTAAGAATGGCACCCAAGATCACCTCTAGCATAGTAAAGAAGTTGGCTTGGCTGACTTCCAGGTAAAACTCTCATGATTGATGTTGGCTACACTTTCCTGATTCTTCCTAGCTCCTACTTCCTCAGGCACCTCACAATATTGCCCTCTTCTTTTAGCCAAATCCTTTGCTATAGTCAAGGACCAGCCCCAGTGCTACCAGTATATGAATCCTTTGGATCAGTGGTGTCAAACTCAAATAAAAATGGGGGCCACAAATCCATACATAAGTAATCCTGCAGGCTACATATTGTCTTAATTTTAAAATCTAATATTATTTATGTTTTACTATATTTGTATTTATTTTGTTATATATTTTCCAATTACATTTTATTCTGATTGGAGCTGCACTCAGGAATGTCATGGCTCAGTTGGGGCCAGTGGGCCACATTTGGATTGTTCTAGCCCACATTCTGTTCTCCCTTCTCTGAACACCTGTAGCACTTGTTGTCACTGGTATACAACTCAGAACTCAATGGTTTTCTATTGTAACATGAGTTGCTTCTCTTGACTGCCCGATTAGATTTTTAAGTCCCTTGACAATAAGAAATGTATCATATCCCACATTTATAACATGCCATTCAGCACTGACACTGTTTTGTACTACTTCATAAGTGGGAGAGTATGACTAGATAAGGGAGTAGAACCCCTTAGAATTGAAAATGAAAGACAAAGAGAGCTCCAGATTCTCCTAGTGACCTCCATATGTGGAAAGAACATGAAAGACTTTAGCACCTTGGGAAGATCCTGGATGGAGGACTTATGGGAAAATAGTGACATGAGTCACACAGGATGAAACGGAATGTATGTGTGTATATATGTTCGATTGTGTGTTGAGGAGAGGAAGACTAAGATCTGTATTTGGCAAATGTTACTCAAAGTAACAAAGTAAATGTGAGTTTTCTCTTTGGAATAGAATTGAATAGTCTATGGTAGAGATGTATTGAGCAGTACAAAATAGTTTTTATTGTTATTACTTTATAATATAGCAATACCTCTATCATTAATTAATCAATCAACTTGGAACTCCCACCTCTGTTTATTGAATATTGTTTATGTAATGAACTGAGGAAATCTTTCTCCATAAGCCATGACTCAGATGTCTCTATGTATCCACATCTCCCAACTCTTAAGATTAACTGAATATTAACATTACCAGTTTTACAATTTATTAACAGTATAGTCAATAATAACATGGAGATCACAAGTAATTATTTACAGTGTTTTAGTTGTGAGAAAGATCACAGCAGGAATCACTTCTACCTAACCATCACACAGGAGCTCTCCTTACTTCTTGAAATAGTTTCACCATTCAGTTCCCTCTAGATATCCACCAGTCTCTTCTCAAGAATTATCTTTAGCCCCTTCACATAAAGGCCTGTCCATTCCTACTAGACAAGTTTGACACTGTATGTTTGCTAGTGAGCAAACTGAGGCACTGTGGAGTGCAACCTTGTGGCTTATGCAGAAATTGCAGAGTAGCTATTGTTTCAACCTTCTTCAAGAAGAGACTTGGACCTTATCTGTCTGCCTACCTGCCTTTCCATGTCTAATGACAAAGTAAAACAGGAGCAAGACAGAAGGAAAACTCATCCTTGCATCAATAATGGCCCTAAAGATTTGATAATTGTAAACTTTATATTGTTTGATGTTATAGTTAAAATATTAGGACTCCAATATGGAGTCACTTAGTCTAAATGGTCCTAATGTCCATAAAGCATATAGGCAAAGATAGACAAAGTTTGTACTTTTTCACTGTTCTGACCCATGTCAACCCTGTGTCAGGAAGATAATTCTTGAAGTTTCTGGTTGGACATTGAGGGAGACAGTGCTGAATCCTGTTTTAAAATGACAACATTATGAAGAAAAAAAATTTTCAAAAACTTTGAAACTCTAATCAGTGGGTTCGCAGATAGAGAACTGAAGGCCTCTCCTGCCAAAGAAGTGATGACTTAAAATACAGAATGAAACTTGCATTTTTAAACTTAGTTAACATTGGAATTTGTTTTACTGAATTATGTATATTTGTTATAAAGATTTTCTTTTTTCTTTTCAATTAAGGGGGGAAGGGCAATGGTGAAAGAAAGATAATAAATGCTTGTAAAAATTAATATATTTTAAAGAGAAAGTTAATGATTCTCCATCTTGATAAGAAATATTACAATATTAAAAAAGAAAACCCCAGGAACAAAAGTAATACAGAATTGTAAGATGAATATACAACAGACATAGTAGAGAAGAAATACAAAATATAATATAAATTAGATGATAAGCAGGGGGCAGCTAGGTGGCACAATGGATACGAATGCCAAGCCTGGAGTCAGAAAGACTCAATCTTGGCGAGTTCAAATGTGGCCTCAGACACATTAGCTATGTGACCCTGGGCAAGTCACTTAACCCTGTTTGCCTCAATTTCCACATCTGTAAAATGAGCTGGAGAAAGATATGACAAACCATTCCACAGTATCTGTGCCAAAAAAACCCAAAATGGGGTCACAGGGAGTTGGATACTTGGGAGAGAAGGGAGCAAGAGGTCAACCCTTCTGGGCCAGTAACAACAGGGTAACTTTTGGAGGCTGCTGGCACTGAGAACTGAAAACAATAAAAACCATGTCATTGAAAATATATATTGTATGTCATCCATATTCTATAGATGCTGAACAATAAAAATATGAAGACCCTCAGAGGAAATACACAGAGGCACAGAATTTTAGAGGAGTATAAAGATAATGCTCTGGCCTGGCCCTGATGGGGTGCTTGGGTGCTTGTGCTTATACTTGGACCCCAATTTCTCCCTAGTCTCAGAAACACTGTCTCTGACAATCACTCCCCAGCCCAGGGACACTGCCTAGCAATTACTCATGCGTGGGCCCCAGCAAGACCCTTATCTCTCTTCCTGGTGCAGCTACACAAAGCTGGGTGACAGAGT